TGCAAAGTACAGTTTCAAGAGCCCACAAGTTCTTAAATTATACAAAATATTGGTGTTTCACATTTATCTTTTTGGCAGAAGGGTTCACTCTCTCAGAGGTACCTTAAAAAAAGCAAGAAACCTCATACACCACTGATGTGGTAGTTACTATAGCAACTTGGCCTGTTTACATAGACAGCTAAATGAAGAGTTTTGGAGGACGGTGAGGATGTGCATTGTTTCTGCCCCTTCCTGTTCTTTCTTTATTATTCTCCAAAGAATGTTAAGCATTACAGTCAGTCATAATATGAACAACAGAATATTATCTCATGTACAATTCATGGTGAAATGTAATTACAGCTTCTGCAACTAAAAAAGAAAATGTACTGCCATTTTCAAAATCAGACAAACACGCAGTTAAACTGCTCCTTTAATTATAGGCTCATCAATATGCCATGTATTCTTTTTCTGCACGGAGGCTCAAGGAGGGCAAAAAACAGGCTTTCTGGAAATTCAGGAAGGCCAGAAATGGGCCCATTTCCAGCTTCCAGAGAGCCTCCATAACCCAGGTAGGCCATTTTTGCCCTCTTGGAGGCTCGGGAAAAGCCTCTAGAGGGCAAAAATGCCCCTCTCCCCAGCCGTGGTGCAGGAGGCCAACTAGGCCACACCCACCATGGCCACGCCCAGTCAGCAACAGGGCAGAGAACTCATTGCTAAATTTTTTGAAGCCCACCTCTGCATATGGTTTGTTTAGTTAAGGGATGAATTTATGTGTACTCCGCCTGATTATTTTTACAAATAACTCAAGGTGGTAAACATCTAACACACTGTCATCTTCTTATTTTCCCCATAACAACAATGCTGTGAGGTGAGTTGGGCTAAGAGAGAGTGACTGATCCAAGATCACTCATCTGGCTTTCATGGCTAAGACAGGACTAGAATTTCGTGTCTCCCTTTTTCTAGCCTTAACTACTAGACCAAACTTGGCTCTTAAAAATCACATAAGCCCTACCTTGTTATTTTCTATGATATCTGCTAAATTTAATACAAATTAAGAAAACTTCACCCAGACTATGCAACAATAGTTCATTCAACATATCTCTTTTCTAAAGTTTCAAGAATATCAGCAAGGTAATTAGAAGAATTATCTATATCTACTCTATATCAGCCCAGGAATCAGTTCTATTGGCTGGGCTCATATTTTGTGGTTTGTCGAATTGTGGTTTAAAATGTAATCCAAATGTAATCTGAACCCCCTACATTGGGTTTATTTTACAGATTATATCCAAAACAAACAAACAAAGGCTTAGCTCAATATATAATCCCAACCGTTAAGTCTGACTGATGGGATTTCCTTCACGATAAGTTTGCAAGTGAATATGTAAGTAAAATGACTTTATCTTCCTAGGCTCAAAACTTCACTGTAGCTATGAAATAGACCTTCACCACTTGGGAGAAAGACTACAAGTCTAGACAGAATATTAATGTGTGGAGACATCAAATTGATATCAGTGATATTTATAACCAAGGCTATAGGTTTCTAATTGACATCATTGACATCAGTCTAGACCAAGGGTGTCCAACCTTTCACCTTCCCTGGGCCACATTAGAAGATGAAAATTTGGTTTGGGCTGCACATAAAATAAAATAACAGTAACGATACATTGTACAAGGTAAGACAGTAATGGGGTATAAGGGCCACAACATTGCAGAGGAGGCAGAGGAGGAACAGGGCTGCAGACATTGTATACTGGGAATATAAAATCCTGCAGACATTGTATACTGGGAATAATAAATCCTGCGGACATTGTATACTGGGAATAATAAATCCTGCAGACATTGTATACTGGGAATAATAAATCCTGCAGAGAGATGGCGGCCTACGCAGCAGTTAAAAGCCGCTATCAATCACGGCAAAAATGAGCTAATTTATTGCAGGTCGGAGCCCACCGGGTGTTTCATTAGGTCCCCGGTGGGCCAGTCCGACCCTGCACAACAGTGGGGGAGTGCTGCACGACAGTGATGGCCACAGCGCAATACAGTTCAACCGGCTCATCTACACTCCGCACAGGCCGTAAGATGCGGCCTGTCGGAGCTTCTAAAATAGACGGGGGGCATGTGAAGCTGGCGTGCTGGCGTCACTTTTGTGACGCGCTCACCCATACTCAGCACAGGCCGCAAGATGTGGCCTCTCAGAGCTAATATAATGGATGGGGCGGGTGAAGCGCGCTGGTGTCACCGTTGTGACATGCCCCGGCCGCATTCCGGCCGCAAGCGCCGGCAGTGTAACTTGAAACTTTGGAATTTCTTAAAAAATAAAAAATTGCACTGGACCGCATTACGAGCCGACCTGGGCCACATGCGGCCCGCGGGCCGCGGGTTGGACAAGCCTGGTCTAGACTGTTCATTGGAGGCATTCATAACAAAGCTAAAGCTTAAATATTTTGGACCTATAACATAAATATAAGAGTTGTTGCAGGGGAGGGCAGAGCTTGCGTCGCAGCGATACAGCATGTGATCTTTAAACTCTAAGATCGCTGCTGATATCTCCATTGCAGGATGGTCCCAACGAACCTAAACCATCCCATAGAGACGGTGACAGAGGAGGGCACATCCTGTTGATCCCAGGGACATCACAAAGTCCCTGGTAGATCCAGGAGAAGCCCTTTTTTCCTGCAGTGGAGAGGCAGCCATTAAAGCTGCTGAAGCTGGGACAGCTCCGGAATGAAAGAAAGCTGGAAAGAAAGTGTATCAGTTTGGTGAGATAATTTTCTACTCATTTTTTTCTGGAGAGAACACCCTAAAAGACTACAAATTAAATTTAAAAGTGAAGATAAAAGTGCTCAAGCGGCGAGATTAAGCACAAATTAAACCTGAAGGTTTTTTTTTCTTTTTATTGGAACTTTGGATTTTGTTAAAACTTTTTAACTTTTAAACTGGACTGGTCTTTCCTTTTTAATTTTTATCTTTTCCCTTCAAAATAACTCTTTGGAAAAGTTTTTTATTCTCTTGCTTTTTCATTTTAATAATTTTAGATTCTTTATATTTTGTATTATTCCTGATTTTAATATTAGAGGGAAGAGAAAGGAAAGGAAAATAAGTAGCTCTGCCACCTGGAGGCTTGGAGTAGCGCTGCCACCTGGAGGTTTTCCTTTCTTTCTTTCTTGTTGATACATTTGCTGTTACATTCAAGGACTCTGTGCATTGAAAAAATAGTGGGAAGAGCATGCAGATTGTTTGCAGATGCTCTTCTGTGGAACTACTGATAGCTGGAGTCTGGATTTGAAATTGAAGAAAGAAGATTGAAGTGACCTTGAAAAGAGAAATGGAAATTTTGTTTTTTGATTTAGTAAAGAGCCTTGAACATATAGTGGCAGTGCTTTGCTTGTTGACAGAATTGCATTTTCTCTTTCCCTTTTTTTCTATCCCCCCCTGTTGGATTTTTATATTTGGACTTATGCAAGAATAAGACTACTTCCCCCCCTCCCTTTGTTTTACCTTTTCGGCAAGGGGAATATACAGATTTCTGTCTTTTTAAATCTTTTCTTAATTTTTTTATTTTTTCATCCTTTTTTCGTTTTATATTTTTTCCTTTTTTCCTACATAATTGGAACCAATTGGATTAAGGTATTCAAGTGCCTGAAGATTTTTCCCTTCCCTCTTTTATTTTTAATTATTTTTTCTTTTTTCTTTTTCTTTTTACTGGAGTGGCAATTGGCTGCTCTTGCTTTTTCTATTCAATTTTTCTATTGCACTTCAAGATGAGCAGAAAAATACCAGCCTCAGCTTCTTCAATCCCGACTTCTTCTTCCTCACCATCTGGAGGACAATGTTCAATACAGGTGATGTTACAACAAAAGAAGGAGAAAGAAGTGACATTGCAGATGATTATGCAAGGAATTCAAAAGATACAAGTAAAAACAGATAATATTGAAAAGAGAATGGAGAATATTGAGCAAAGAACAGAAAAGACGGATGAAAAAATAGAAAATATTCAACAGATGATGATGCAATACGAGGACAGAATGAAGAAAATTGAAGAACAAGATGTACAAAGAGATAAGAAGATTGGAGATATGGATACCCAATTGAGTGAAATGGAAAGAGATAAGGGCAGATCTCTGCAATCATTGGGATGGGAAATTGATAGATCAGAATTCTATCTTAGATTTCAAAATATAGAAGAAGAAAAGGGTGAAAACCTTGCTGAAATGATGACAGAAATTCTGGCAGAAGCATTAGAGGTAACTAAAGAGAAGATGACAGATGGAATGGACGAGGTTTTTCGTGTTTATACAAGATATGCGATGAGAAATAAACTGCCAAGAGAAGTTCATATCAGATTTACTAAGAAAATAATAAAATCACAAATACTGCAGGCTGCAAGAGAAAAAACACTAAAGTACAAAGATAAAGAAATAGTGATACTGAAACAGGTACTGAGAAGAGTGAGAGAGATAAGAAGAGAATATTTATTTTTGACCAAAGAGTAACTTAAGAGAGGAATAAATTACAAATGGCTGATACCCGAAGGTCTCATGTTTACCTGGCAAGAACAAAGACACAGAATTGATACAGTTGAAAAAGCAGAGTTATTCTATCTGGAATATTTTAGAGGAAGGGAGGAAGATACAAGAAAAGAAGAGTCATTAATTGAATTTCAAAAGGAATGTACAGCAGCAATTGAAAAAGAGGAAGGAGCCGTAGGTGGTGTACCCAGAGAACAACAAGAACCAAGATCTACTAGAGCAACAAGTCCTTCTTACAAAGTCTAAAATGGATGAGAAAAAAATTGATTACAATTAATATAAATGGGCTTAATTCAGCTATTAAAAGAAGAAAAGTATTTCATAAATTAGAGAAATTAAAATTTGATATAATCTGCCTACAAGAAGTACATATTTAAAAACAACATGATTATATATTGAAACAACAAAAATTAGGGAAATTATTTACACCGTTAACACATTGTAAAAAGAGAGGAGTGGTGTTATACATTAGAGTTGCAATCCCTGTGGGACAAATATATATAGATGTTGATGGAAGGATTTTGATGGTGGAGATAACGGACAATAATCTAAAGACACTTTTAATAGCAATTTATGCTCCAAATGATAATCAAGAAGATTTTTACAGGAAATTACATAAGAAAATAATCGAACTGGACTATGCTAATATCTGTCTGATGGGAGATTTTAATGGAATAATAAATAACAAATTGGTATTATAACACACAAAAAACAGCAAAGAAAACTACAAAGACATTGCCAAAATCCTTCTTTCGAATGGTAGATGAGATAAACTTAAAAGATGCATGGAGAGAGAGAAATGCAGAAAATAAACAACATACCTTTTATTCAAATAGACATGGATCGTGGTCTAGAATAGATATGATATGGATGTCAACAGAATTGCTTTCTAACATACAAGAGATTGAAATAGAAGCAAGTACCTGGGCAGATCACAATCCAATAACACTTGTATGGAAAGGACAAAAAAGATCTAGATGGACTTTAAATAATACGATATTAAAGGAAAAAGACTTTAAACAGAAAATTGAGAGAGAATTGACTTTTTTCTTTAAAGAAAATACAAAAGAGGATACATCATTACAGAACCTCTGGGACACGATGAAGGCTAATACAAGAGGTTTGATAATGGACTATACAAGGAAAATAAATATAAAACAGAATTTTTTTAAAAAAATATTGGAAGATGACTACAAGAAGTTGGGAAAAGAATTATAGAAATTTCCACAAAAAAAGGACATTAAAATTAAAATGGACATAACTAAGCATAAAATGGGGCTAATGGAAAAAGAAGAAATAGCACAAAAAATTAGAAATGCTAAGCAGAATTATTTTGAAGATGCAAATAAACCAGGCAGATGGCTAGCATATAAATTGAGAAAGGAAAGAGACTCGAGAAGAATAAATCAATTGATAAATGAACAAGGACATGTATGCTATGGAAATGCAGAGAAGAAAAAAATTATTCAGGATTACTATGGAAAACTGTACCATCAAGAGAATGTTCAGGAAGAAAGAATTCAATAATACTTACAGGAAGCAAATTTGCCCCAGATACCCAAAGATATTGAAACAATGTTAGAAAGTAATATAACAATGATGGAATTAACAGAAGCTTTAAAAAAGCAAAACATTGGGAAAGCACCAGATCCGGACAGTTTGCCAGTGTAATTTTATAAGACATTCCAGGAAACATTGAATCTTCACTTATTAGAAATTATGAATGAAGTTATGACAAATAAGAGAATACCCGAAACATGGTCAGAAGCATATATAACACTTGTACCGAAGGAGGTCACAGACCCACAGCAAGTTAAAAATTACAGACCTATATCACTATTAAATTCAGATTATAAAATTTTTGCTTCAATTCTGGCAGAAAGACTGAAAAGATATTTAAACAATTTTATTCATCCTGATCAAAATGGATTTCTGCCGAAGAGACAGATTAAAGATTATATGAGAATAATTTTAGATACACTGGAATACTATGAGGCACATCCTGAAAAACAAATGGCTCTGATGTTTATAGATGCAGAAAAAGCCTTTGATAATGTGAATTGGCATTTTATGCTGTTACAATTGGACCAAATGGGCTTTGGTAAAAAATTTACTCAAGCCATCAAAACAATATATCATAAACAAACTGCAAAGGTTATGATAAATATAGAATTAACAGACTTTATAGATATAAGAAAAGGGACCAGACAAGGCTGTCCACTGTCACCTCTGTTGTTTGTGTTAACACTGGAAGTGCTGAATAGGAATATCAGAGAAGAAAAAGAAATAAGAGGAATGAAAATTAAAAAAGAAGAGTATAAATTACAAGCTTTTGCAGATGACCTGGTATTTATATTAGAGGATCCATTGGAGTCTGCACCTAAACTGATAGAAAAGATAGAAGAGTATGGGAAAGTAGCAGGTTTGAAAATAAAGATAAAACAAAGATTTTAGCAAAGAACATGTTAGTAAGACGAGAGAAAGAATTGGAGGAAGTTTTGGGTATCCAGGTCACAAACAAGGTAAAGTATTTAGGGATACATATAACACCGAGATGTAGCACACTTAAGGAGGACAATTATCTCAAACTTAAACAACAGATTGTGACAGATTTGATAAAATGGGAAAATTTACAATTATCACTGATTGCGAGAATATCTACAATTAAGATGAATGTATTGCCCAGAATCTTATACTTATTCCAGACAATTTCAATCAGATTAGGGAAAGAATTTTTTGAAGATTTAAATAAAATAGTGCTAAAATACATTTACCCGGGGAAGAAAGCAAGAATAAAACTTTAATTGTGACAAGATGCAAGAATAAGAGGAGGATTTGCTTTGCCCAATTGGGAATTATACTACCAAGTGACGAGTCTGATGTGGGTAAAGGAGTGGATAACATTAAGGAATACTAGACTTTTGAATTTAGAAGGACATGACTTGCTGTTAGGGTGGCACACCTTCCTCTGGTATAAGGGAACTAAAATGCAGGGGTATTTTAGAAGACATTATATTCGAGAAGCATTGTTTTTAAACTGGGAGAAGACAAAAAAGCAATATTATTTACAAATTCCACTATGGTTATCTACTATTGAAGCTTTTTCCTATCCAATAATATATAAAAAGGAACAAACAGTTTGATATGGTGAGATATTGAATGAAAAGGGTGAACTTAAATCTATGCAAGCGTTGGAAGAACAAGGTGTAAAAATGAATTGGTTTTCATGTTTGCAAATACAATCTAGATTTGATAAAGATGTTAAAACAGAAGGTATCTATGACAAGTTGACTGATTTAGATAAAATTTTGACAGGTAATATGAAAAAGTAATAAAAAAACTTTATGGACATTTCCTAGAGTTTAAATTAGAGGAAGAACAAGTAAAAGAAACAATGATTGTGTGGGGGGAAAATTTTGGATATGGGATTGACTTAGATAAATGGCAAAAAGTGTGGTGTCAAAATTATAAAATGACAATGTCAACTGAATATAAAGAAAATTTGTATAAGATGTCTTACAGGTGGCACTTACACCCGACGAAAATTGCTAGGATGTTCAAAGATAAATCGGATAAATGTTGGAAATGTCGTCAGATACCTGGTTCATATTACCACATGTGGTGGACATGCTCAGATGCAAAACGATATTGGACTATAATCCACACATGGTTGGAAAAAATGACAAAACAACACACAGACTTTAAACCTGAGATATTTTTATTGGGAATTATACCGGAAATATATTGTAAAGAATTGAAATATTTGATTGTAAATGTTTTAACAGTGGCTAGAATTGTATTTGCTAAGAACTGGAAAAATGCAAAAATACCTATGCAGGAGGAAATTATTAAGAAAATCATGGACTGTGCCGAAATGAGTAAATTGACATTTGAAATTAGAGAACAAGAGGATAAACAATTTTATATGATATGGGATTTATTTTATCAATGGTTAGATAAAAAGACATGGTAAAGAAATAGACTACTAAGCCTTACAATAAAAGTTAATAAATTGAGGGATTGGAGGGCGGAGCTGGTGTTGCGACAATACGGCATGCGATCTTGGAGGTCTGAGATTGCTGCCGATATCTTTGCTCCTGGACTGTCCAATCGGATCTAAACCGTCCCGAAGAGATGGTGAAAGTAAAGAGCGCATCCTGCCGATCCCAGGGATACTGCAAAGTCCCTGGTAGATCCAGGAGAAGCTCTTTTTGCCAGCGGCAAAGAGGCAACCATTAAAGCTGCTGAAGTTGGGACAGCTCCGAAACGAAAGAGAATGGAAAGAGAGAGTGTGCCGGTTTGGTGAGAATTTTTTCCTTTATTTTAACATTTGAAAGGACACCCTAAGGAAAAAAAAGAATCTGTAAAAGTTTTGACAGAAATGACTAAGCGGCGATTTTAAACAGGAATGTTAAAGTAATATTTTTTTTCTTCTCATTGCTGGATTTTCTATATGCAATCTTATATTTTGAATCTGGACTGGTTTTTTCTCTTTTTTTATCTATTCTTTTTCTCCTTTTTGATGTTATAATATTTTAGGCTAGAGACTCTCTTTTAGTTATTTTTTTAAAATATATTTTTCTTTTTTAATTAATTCTTATTATATTTTGCTTGGAAAAGGAGGGGGAAAGTGAAAGCAAAAGAAACTTTGTAACACTGCCAACTAGAGGCTTGGAAATATTCTATTTTTCTTTTGACCAGACAAAGCTGAGAAAGAACTGAGACTTCTTTTCAAGGACATTGCTATTTGATAAGATAGAGGGAAGAGCATGGGAGAGTATTATTGCAGGTGCTCTTCTGGGTTTCTATCAACAGCTGGTGTTGAAGCTTATAGGAAAAGAAAAGGTGATAAGTCTCTGGAGAAGAGAGTTATAACAAGAGCCTTGGATAGTTAAACAAAGTGCAGTGTGCTCTATTTATTTTTTCTAAGCTGCACTACCCCTCCTCATCAGTTTACTTTTTGTAATAGCTATTTGGATTTTTGGCCCTTTGGAACTTGTCTTTGTTTTTTTTTTTTCTTGTCTTTGGAAGTTAAATTTCTACACTTGCTTTTTATTTTAAAGGAAAAGCCTTTGTATTAATCATTTTTTTCCTTTTCTTTTTAAGGGAGTAGTCTTTTTTTCCCCCTCCCCTCCCTGGTGTTTTTGTCTTTCCATTTACCTTCCATATTGGTTTTTTTTCTTTTTTCTTTTGTTTATTTTTCTTCTTGCTTTACAAGCCTTTTTTTTTTCTTATACATCCTTTTATATTTGAGACTTGCTAATCGGATTAAGGTTTTGAAGAACCCGAAGAATTTTCCCTTTCTCTTTTTTAGCCTTTTATTTTTCACTTTTCCGCCTTTTTTAGGATTTTACAACTTCTTCTTTTTTGTGTGTGTTTATGGTCTTTTCCTTCATTTTTGAATTTTTACTGCTATCTAACCAATTGATTGGATTAAGGTATACAAGAACCTGAATAATTTTTTTCTTTTTTTATTATTATTACTATTTGGCTTCTTTTTTCC